TGCATTTCATTAAAGACTCACGATGTGGGGCACTCTCTTCATGTGTGTACGTGTCATTGTACGTCTCCTCTAGTAAAGTGCACAGATTTTATTGGGTGGTTTGAGAGTCTGTGAGGTCTTTCGGATACGGCTCAATTCCAGATAGATGATATGAGAAGATTTCCTCTCGTGTTTTCTCTTCCTTGCCACCGTCTTTTGAGGAATACTTCTTCGTTTTAGGATGCCTGGGTGGCTCAGTCGGCTACGAGTCTGGCTCTTGATTTCTGCTCAGGTCATGATCTCACAGTTTGTGAGATTGAGCCCCGTGTCGGGCTCTGCACTGACAGCACGGAGCCTGCTTGGGATTCTCTCTCTCTCTCTCTCTCTGCCCCACTCCTGCTCATGCCCTCGCTCTCAATAAACTTAAAAAAAATAAAAATAACAAAGTTCCTATTTTTGACCTGTCTAGTTTGTCCACCCCTTCTTTTTTTTTTTTTTTTTTTTTTTTTTTTTTTTTTTTTTACGTTTATTTTTGAGACAGAGAGAGGCAGAGCATGAAGAGGGGAGGGGCAGAGAGAGAGGGAGACACAGAATCGGAAACAGGCTCCAGGCTCCGAGCCGTCAGCACAGAGCCCGACGCGGGGCTCGAACTCACGGACCGTGAGATCATGACCTGAGCCGAAGTCGGACACTCAACCGACCGAGCCACCCAGACGCCCCGTCCACCCCTTCTTCTGTGGCAAGTGCTTTCTGTGCCATCTCTGACCCAAAGTCACAAAGGTATTTTTTGTTCATGTTTTCTTCTAGAAGTGTTATAGTTTCAGTTCATACCTTTAAGTTGATGGCTTGGACTGAGTCCATCTTTGTATATGACGTGAGAGTTGGGGGGTTACTTTTGTCCATCCGGAGGCTCCCAATTTCTGGCATCATCTATTGAATCACCTCAGCACTACGGCCATATGGGTCGATTTCTGGATTCTCCGTTGTGCCCCACTGTTACGTATGTTGATTCTTACACCAGTCATACTGGCTTGATGACTGCTGGTTCTCACAAGTAAGCCTGAAATCAGTGTATATTCTGCCACTCGGTGCCTTTTCAGAATTGTTTTGGCTGCTCTAAATCCTCTTTATGCCCATAAAGATTTTATAATGACTTCGTCAAATTCTAAAACAAACAAAAAACAGTCTGCTGGATTTTTGATTGGAATGCCATTGCGTTTACAGATCACTGTGGGGAGAATTGACATCTTAACATGGAGTCTTGGGATTCATAAACAGTCTACCGTTAGATACTCTTAGGGTTTTCTGCAGAGAGGTAGTTTGTGTCCCCGATGCGCTGTAAATGTGTATATTGCTTTCTTAATTTGCACTCTGCAACTTGGCTGGAGCCCCGAGGGGTGATCTCACGGGCCTACTGTCCTCCTCTAGATCTTTCTCGCATGCCTCCAGCAGAGGCCTGTGGACAAGAGCTGATGAGTAAATACAGCCCCCCACCCCACCCCACCCCGCCTTGTGCCTGGGGTGCGTCATGATTCCAAACTGTCACGCTAAGCTTTAAGGTTTTTTCAAACTTGGTATCTTCTCACCTGCTTACATGTGGACCACTTCGTCCCATGATCTGCCTAAGTGAAAATAGCCTATGGACCCTCTCTCCTGACACGGGTTTGTCACTCTTTGCAACTGAGTTTACCTGCTTGCCTGACCACCTCACCCCTCTGATAAGCTAAAAAACAAAACAAACAAACAAACAAAAAAACAGTCCCACTTTGTAGACTACTAGGCTTTTTTCTTACAGTTTTCTACCTCCTAAGCAGGATGTGGGTAACGTTTAGTCAGGGCTGTGGCTTGGGCTTCCCAAGGCCCTGGTCAGCAGTCCCTGCAGGGTGAAAGGGTCACAGGGGGACTGGAGCAGGGGTAGGACTGCTCAGGTGGAGGTCTGGGGGCTTTTTCAGGAACCCAAACTCTGGCCCACTCCGGTGGCAGACACAACAGCTCATCTGGTCCCACTAGCTGAGCGGGCCCCCTAGGCCCCCGCTCCAGGAATACCCCAGGGGCAATGTCGCCCCCGGGAGGCACCCACATCGTCGTCTCTTGCATTTTCTGATCATGTTGTTTCTAGAGGTAGGCACGGCAAATGCTTTCACTGCCGTTTTCCAGAGGGGCAGAGGGGGCCGTGCCCCTCAGAATCTCAGGGCCCAAAGGCTCCCCAGATCGGTGACGCCCCCATGCTAGACTCTGTGGGGCCCGTAATGGTGGGTGGAGGGTCCTCGGGGCTGGTTTCTGGGTCCCTCTCCCTCGAGCACTGCAGGCCCGCTTTGAGATACCGCCCTTCGGCCTGGGAGGACTGATCACAGGTTCCCAATGGTGTGACATTTTAAATTACCTCTCCAGCCCCACAGCGCTGCTCCCAGACCCGGCGACGGCGCCTACACGAAGGGCTCCTGCGGTAGCCGGGCTCAGCGCAGCGACAGACTGGCGATGTCCCCCGTGGCGCAAGATAGGGGCACATCAGCACGCATGCCCAGGTGGTATCCCTGCCCCACAAAGTGTGCGTGGTCCTCCGTCAGAGCCAGGGGTGCTGGGGCCCTTAGAGGACCCCACTCTGCCCACCCGCCCCGCTCCCCCGCCCGCCCCGGGGCCCCAGGACCC